TAAAGCGTTTAAAAAACGTCTTATAGCCGTCTAGACATGATTTACACGTTTTTGAGACGTCTTTTAAATGTTTTGTGTTTATATGGATAATACTAAGCATAAAAACACTTTTTAGTCCGAATCACGAAAACTTAAAAACCCTACCTGATAAAACATCGTTAGAGTTTTTCTGGGTATTAGGTAAAAGAGTATCCGATATATTTTTATAAATCCAATCATTTTGAAAAAAATGCTTTAAAAGTTTTTCATTTTACATTTTTTAGTAAGTTTATAATAGGAAATAATAATAGAGATAATATGATACAGACAACAAAAGCAATAGGATTACTGCTTTAGTTGAACAAACATATGGCATTAACTTAAGATAATGGATAAAACCTTTGTTTATTTATACCCAAGTGGGTGCTGAATATAAAATGTTGAGTAGACACTTTTAATTTTTAACCTATTTTTTTGACCTTATATTGTTTTTTGAGTCGCGTTTAAAATCTCAAAACTTTTCCATTTTATATAAGGCGCTATTGAGACTATTTTTATTGAATTCAACACTTTATTTTGCACCCACTGAGAAAGTATATCAATACACTCTTTTGCACCCACTGAGATATATGAAAGTACACTTTGGTGATGTAAGTAAAACATTATGAATCGTACTTAATCTTCAATATTAACAATCCATAAATAACATAAACAACGAGATCAAAGTTTTGAGTTTTTATTTACCCGGCTTTACCGCAGCTTGCAGCTTTAATGTTATGTAATTTTATAGTTCACTTGTGTTCAATCTGTTGTGGTAAATTGTAAATGATGCATTAACAATTTACAATTTTTTATTTATTTAAATTTTGCACAAAAACACAGTAATTATTGCAGAGAACAAATGGAAAAACATGATTCTTTCTAAATACTAACAAAAGAAAACTAAAAAAAAAAACTTTTTTCAAATAACTAATAAAAATTAAAAAAAAAAGCTACAAATTTCAATAAAAGAAATATAAAATTAAACATTTTGAAATGAAAGCGTAACATTTAACAAAGCGTCACCTATGTAATTGGAAAACAACCTTAATCAACTAATTAGCTAATCACGAGTGTTTGTTATCCACATAATCAAAAAAATGATTTTTTTCTATTAAACTAGCTAAGGAGTTGTCCATAAATTACGTTACGCAATTACCAACCTTTTTTTAATTTACCCCTCCCCACCCCACCCCTCGTCACAAAATCGTAAAACTTCAATAGCAAGTTTTGTTTGAGTCGTCACAAAACCACTAAAATCCCTCGCCCCAGAGCATGACGTAATTTATGGACGACCCCTAAAAGATAAATATTGAACTGAACTGTTTTTCCTTATGCTTTTAAAAATAATAGCAAAAAACATGAAACGTTTGCACGACACATTTTACACGATTTTTTTATATATTTTATTATACCATTTCCAACACGTTTACACGATCTTTTTATTGGTAAATATTATGATAGAGCAAGAAGTAAAAAAAAAAAGGTAAGCTGTTGAAGTATAACTAAATTGAATTATTTACAAGTAAGCAAACTTATTTAATAATAAAAGAATTTTTTTCAAATGAGTGCGGTTAAAAAAAAAGATAGATGGCCCAATAGATCAATTAAGCATAATATAAGGTTATTTGGAAGCAAAAAAATTAGAAAACAAAATATTGAAAAGCATAAATAAACATTTTTATAAATATAATTCTATATAAATATAAATAAAATTAGACGCGATAATGGGAGAAGTAAACCACGTTTTAAAATTTTTTTTTTTACATGTTTGTGGATACAGCATAAAATCAATTTTTATTTCATTTTTGATTCAAAATAAGTTTTATTCGTATTTTAATTTGATTTAAAAATGTACATCACGTGAATGTGATTACATAACGTGTATTTTCTAATTAATGTTAATTATTCTTATATTGTTCTATATAATATCGTTATTTAATAACAATTTATTATTATATATAAAATTATTTTATATTTCTATTGTTCTTTACTTGTTTACTTTTTATTTACCGTTCTTAATTATTTTTATTATTTTTCATTAATATATTTTCTTTTTTATTTTATCATCTTTATTATTTTGTCATTTGTTCTTTTTTTTAAATTTTTCTCAAAGAAGAAAGCTATTTCCTGAATAATTTAAACCATTTTTCTGAATCATTCACTTTTTAACTGGCTCAATTTTTTATTTTTAATCTGCCAAAAAAGATTTTTTTTTTTGACAGATTTTGGACAATCATTTTTATTGCTGATATAATAATCTCACTTCTGGACGCAATTTATGCTAATAACACTGCTAAATAAACATCAATAATACCTGAAAAAACTCGCCACTTGATGGGTTAAATCGCTATTTGATGGTGTATGTGGTGTTGACAGACTTAATTGTGTATGTGATGTTAACAGATTTAATGGTGTATGCGATGTTAACAGATTTATAAATTAAAGTGCTGTAATAGCGTCAACAAAATTCAAATTTTGACTATATTGTAAGATTAACTCTTAAACCTTAAAAAACTCAAAAAAACAATCAACAAACAGAAGATGAGTGTTGTTTCAATTATACCAGTACTTGTGTCATCACACGTGATATTTTGTAAATAGATGCGCATGTATGAGCAATAAAAAAAAGTGACACATGGGAGTTACCTGACAGACGACGCAAAATTTTACAGACATTATATGTATAAGTAATAAGTTTTACGTAACTTATATTTTAATATACGTTTTGAGTCCTCTAAAAATGATAAACTATATGTCACATATAGTTTATCATTTTTAGAAGACTTAAAACGTATATTAAAATATATGTAACATAAAACTTATTACTTATGTTAAGTAATTTAAAGTGACTGTAAAAAAAAAATTAATTATTTATAAAATCTATTTTAATCTTGCAAGAAATAAATACATAGTGTAAAACTATAATTAAATACAAGGGAGTGAGGACGTTTACACTTGTGTTAAAAACCACAAATGACCAAATAGAAAAAGAATTTCGCAAAGTTTCTAAAAACACAGCCTCAAAGTTTTGACAGTTTTATTATTACCGACATAAAATATGTAACTTTCTATCTGAAGTGTTTTTTTTTTTTGTTTTTTTTTTCAACAGATGTTTGACGTGATATTTTAATAATTTTGTCGATAAATTAATTAAAAGCTTAAAAACATTATTTATACAAAATAAATGAATAAACATTAAATGTACTTAACTTCAAAAAATAATGGAGACAAACATTAAATTTGAATCAAACTGGTAACTAGCAACTAGTTATTTTTTTTATTTTTTTAATTTTTTTTTTTGTGTGTGTTAAACTTAGTGACAAAATAGACATTAAAAGATTGGTTTCTTTCAAAATGCTATAAAAAGTAAACAAAAATTTTGTTGTCTGTTTGTCGCAAAGATCACCGAATGAACAACTAATCAAAAGTTTCGTTAAGATCTATAAAATAATATATACCTAAATCAGCTGTTTGAAAAAAATTATGAACGTAAAACTTATTAGTAGTAATTAAAAGGATCCTTTTTAAACCTAATTTTGTTTTTCTTTATTAATAACGTTGTATCTAATAACTTATTGGATACAACGTTATCTAATTAGTTATTAGAAACAACGTTATCTAATAAGTTATTAAAAACAACGTTATCTAATAAGTTATTAGAAACAACGTTATCTAATAAGTTATTTGATAAGGTTGTATCTAATAAGTTATTAGCTACAACGTTAACAATAAAAACAATTAGTATTAAGTACAAAACTAATGACGTAACGCGTTTTAAAGATTTATAAAAGTAATGAACGATTAACGCAAGATTAAATAAAGCTCTGTAGTTGTAGACGCAAGGTTCATTAAAAAGCACCAGTTCCAAAAATATATACAACATGCACACAATAGAAAGTTGTAAACTTTACACATCCATAACTTTCAAAGGAATATTTTTTGATAAAGGACTTCAACTTATATCGTCGAATATCGTTCTTTAAAATAATCGCATCGTCAAGTACGATAAAAGTACGATACTTTTACTTCATTAAATATTTAGTCTAACGTTTTAAAAAATATATCTTTATACTTATTTAATTGTTAAGCATTTGAAAAACTATTTTTGAGACCATTGGTAAAAATTTTATTGCTAAGCATTAGAAAAACAATTTTTGTGTCCATTAATTAAAGTTTTATTGTAAAATATTTTTAGCGTTAAAAAGTTTTATGGCTAAAGATTTAAAAAACATTTTTTGTTTACATTAGTAAAATTTTTATTGCTGAACATTTTAAAAACCGATTGGAACGTATAACTTTAAGGCGCAGTTTTGAAAAAATTTATTTTTATTTTTCAAAAGTAGTAATATGTTTTTATAATTTACATTTAACTTTCCTATATATAATATAGGAAAGTTAAATGTTAATTATTAATACATTTCAAATAACTTATAAATAAATAAAAATTATTTGTGTGTTTTATATTACTTATAAATTATTTTACTCATTTATCTCAAGGCATAACTTTGGCATCGCAACAAAAACCAACCTTAGACTATAAAGACATAGCAAAATTATTTTTGCAATATCTTTATTTAAAACTCAACAAAAAACATAAATAAAATATGACAAATCGCGAATAATTAGCCATAACTTATTTTTAATATTTTATTTTTACTTTCTTATTTATTGCCTGCAAGGAACATGTTTTCTGAAATACAATAAAGTTTTATAACAAAAACTTTAGCTTTTCAATAAGAAAAGGAAAATACCGATGTTTTGTTGGAAGGCCGTAATAAGTAGTTTAGCGTATTTTAACTTTGAATTAAACTGACGAATTATGATTATTATTTAGAATTATAAACATCTGAGACAACGACATTTGTCAATTAATTTAACATCAACGTGTTAAACGAAGTGCGAAGAAAGTTGTGACAGAACTTGCAAAAGTTCAAAAAAAAATATTTTTAATAAAAATGTGTTTTCGTGCATTATATTTTTATATTAAAATGTTTATAAATTAATATGTGGTTTGCTAAGGGGGATTTAAAAAGTAAAACTAAATTATTTTTTTAAACTAAAACACCTGACAAAGACGATTAGTCAAAGTAAATTCATTTTAAATAAATTGGTCTCTTACGACCATAGCAGAAGGTAAGTTGCATATTTTTTGAATTTTTGACATAATTTTCAATCTTATTCATTAGTCTTTAATCTTATTCATTAACCGATATAATATATAATATATTTGTTGTTCAATATTGAGAAAAACTTATTTAGAAAAAGTCAAAATCTTATGCATGATGTTTTTATGTCTTAATAACATAAAAATATTGTCAAGAAATTATAAACCCGCGTTCTGTGTGTCTCACTTCAATCTTTATTACTTTCACTGAATCAAAATCTCTATGTCTAATACATAAAACTACCATTAATAAAAAAAACAATTATTGCAACGGATGCATACACCATTGCTACGGGTGTATACACTATTTAAACACTCTTTGTAGTAATAAATAGACGCAGAAATGATATTGTGTGTTTGATATTCTGATTGTAGTTTATCAAACATTATATTTTGACATTTAAAACAAATTTATTTTTATTTGAAAAAGGATTATAAATTTCAATTGAATTAGTCCAAACTTATTTTGATATTTATGTCTAAAAACTGCAAAAGGTCTGAATGTAAATGCAGGGTTTTTGTGTTTGTTTTTGCAAAGACGTTTTTATGTTTTCCATTTTTGCAATACATGTTGTTTATAGCACTAAGAATTGTTATAAAAATTAATAATGGTTTAAATAAGTATATTAATTAGTAAGAACGAATCATTCACGTTTGTCATAAATAATAATTTATTTTTGAAATTCTCGTTTTAAAAGAATTTTGCTTTTTAACTATTGAACAACGACCGAATGGAATCATGAGATATTAAAAAAGTCTAATAGAATCCTGAGTTATTAAGAAAATCTAATTATAAACGAACTCAAAACTATTGTAAATACTCATTACGAATTGGTATTTCGGATCGATAAAGTTTTGTAAAGTGCTTTGTGAACGAGCCGACATTTTTATAAACGTAAAGTATTTTTAAATTTTCGGTATAATTGTTTGGTAGTAGAAATCACTGAGAATTCATCACAAATAAGCGGTTTACTGCTGAGTTCAAATCTAACGTATATTGCCGGATTATTTATATGAGTTTATTTCATCCCACTGCCTTCACGCAGTTTACGTTATCTTTATCTTTTTTGACAAAATCTTTCTTGACAAAATTTTTTATCATTGACAAAGTTTTGATTTCTCTGCTGAAGTCTTAATGTTTTCCATTTTAGAAAAATTAAAGTTTTTTATATGGAGTTAGAGGAACTAATGTCAAACCGAACACTTCTTGAAAAAATGACTGAAGCCGATATTCATACAAACAGTTTTAGGATGCCACCAAAAAATCAAGTTATTCAACAAAACAATATAAAACCAAAAGATATGTGTATCAGTTATAAAAAATCAAATTTGTATGCTGTTGCGACAACAGAAACGCAATGTGAAGAGTTAGAACTCGATAAAAGTCGATGTTGCAAACCGCCGACTAAATTAAAAAGGTTATTTAAAATAGTGTGGGTAATAATTCTTTTGTGCTACATACTTGGGATGCCAATTGTGTTATATGATATATATTCAAAATTAATAGCAACTAAAACTCAAATCATAGTCCTGGAAAATAGTTTATGTGTCAATTTGAAAAACAAACATTTTCATGATACATTAAAAAATCTTAATACATTTGACCGTGAACCGGAAGAAGTATCCAAAAAATATCCTGTCAACAGTCTTCATCAAAGTTACGAGAGTGAAACGGAAAAGCGTCTCGTGATACTTTCAAGGGATATTGGAAAAAAAATGGAGGAATACTTGCAAAGGTTAGATTTTTAACAGTTTGTATTTTAGAAATTTTTGATGAATTAATTATTTATTATTCTTATTTGTTATTCCCCAGCGTAACTGCAATTTTGCTATTTAAATGTTTTCTATTTTATCCTTTCTATTTTGACTTTAATTTTTTCCTGGTACCTCGGTTTGAATCGCTTTTTAGCGCAATAAAACTAAAACGTTTAAAATGAAATTTTTTAATAATTATTTTATAAACTAGTTTTTATAATTAAAAAAATAAAAGCGCAATTTCAAAAAAAAAAAAAAAAAAAAAAATTAAAAAAGTTGCGGAAGTTGCGCAGTTGCGTAGAGCAGAGAATCTTGTTCAATAATTTACGTAGTTTGATGTTATGCTTTTATTTATTTTTTGGCTTACCGAATTATAATTATTCTGTCTAATTAGAAACTAATATATAATAAATATCATTTTGGATTAGACGTTTTTAAGTAGTTGGGTTTTAAATTTTTTAACACTTTTAAACAACGCTTAATATCACTTATTAGCGTTTAGTTAAACATTTTCTTTTCTTTTTTATTTGCTCCTTTTTTTGAAAATAGAGGGTTGAAATACAATTAATGCCACTTTTATATTGCGACTCGTCAAAAAATAAAAGATATTAGCGAAAAATCAAAGATTTTTCATAAAGATACTTTGAAAACCTAGTATCTTGTATTTAACTTGACAAAATATAAAATCCTGAAGGAACCTCTTAACCACATTGTCATGGAGATATAGATCATACTTTGAAAATCTTCCTCTAGTTGCGTGCCAAACGAAAATCACCTCGTACCAGAGCCTCTAAACACGCATCAATTCACTGCATTAAGAGTTCACATTTGTTGATAAGTAAGCCAAGGTTGGTTAGGAGCTTTTAGATTAGGCATTAAGAGCTCACAAGGTTGATAAGAAAGCCAAGAGGGAGTGTTAATAAAAAACAGAAGTTATAAAGGGTAAAAATATAATAGATAAAGAGTCTGGAAGTTAGCATGAACCTGTCAGAATAATCGAAAGCCTGTCAGAATGATCAAAAAAGTACAAATTTATTAAAAATACAATGTTTGCAACATTTTATGTTATTACAATAATATTTATGTAATATTTGTAGATTTCATTGTGTAATGATGCATTTAAAGCAGCCAACTACTGCAAAACCATACCCATCCAATTTTTAAACCATAACCACCCAGCTATACCATTTAACTCTATTACTTATTGGAATTTAAGTTCAAGTTTTTTCATTTTACTTTTTTGTAAAATTGATGTTGATGTTACGTCGTTTTTTTCAAAACCAATTTTTATACTCTAAAATTTTCGATAGATTTTTTTACATTAAAATTTTTCGAGCTTTTTTAAATCAAAAACTTATTTATAACAAAGATTCTTTCAACTAAGAAGTCATAAAAAAGTTTAATATTGTTTTCTTATTTTTATAATCTATTCAAAATTTTAAATTATATGGAAATAGGTCCTTAATTTATATTCATATTAATTTAAATTTTTATGGTCCTTAATTTATATCCATATTTATATGGAAATAGGTCCTAAAGTAATAATTTATTTTTATTTGAATCACAAAAACCGATCGATTAATTGAATGCTGTATTTTCGAAAACGCGAGTGACACTTTTTTGAAAAAGTGAGGTTATTTGAAAATAATATTTTTTTTCAGGACAAGTTGATGCATCGAATAAAAAATTTCTCTGATTTAAGATGTAAGATGTAAACACTTATTACTTTATATAAGCTACAAATATAATTTTCATACAAATTTTTACAGGAGAAACATTTTTAACTCTCTTGTAAAATTTTAATTTTGTAAAATATCAAAATTAAAAAGAAAAATTTTACAGTTTAAATCTTTTCCAAAAACGCTACGGTATCAGGGATCGTCCATGAAGTACGTACGCAGGAGGGGAAGAGGGGGTCTGCAAATGGCGTACATGAGATCGAAGGGCAGTGGGTCAATTATAAATATAGGAAGACACAAAATAAAAAATATCATAAAATGTTGGGTAGGCTGATTAAAAGCGTAGATAGTTTTAGGGAGGTGGAGGGTACACAAAAAAGCGTATAGCAAAATAAAGGTTAAGGAGGGGGGGGGGGGGGAAGAGAAAGTTAAGAAAAAAAGCTAACATTCTTTATGGACGATCCCTTATATGATATGATCTCAGATCAATAGTGATCTCTATGTCGATAGTAATTACTTTGGTAACTACGGTAACAGTTTTTTGTTACCGTAGTTTTCAATTCATTTGTCTAAATATATTATTACTAAGCAAATACTATTATAAATTATTTGTTAATATTTTTTTAATTTCAATTAATAATAATATTTATGATTAACGTAATGTATACACTCAAAGATTATTTTATAGAGAAAATATTGTCGAATACTTTTGAAAATAGATGACAATTTTTTTTTTTTATTTGTAATGTGTTTTTTTTTCTTGTTGTATTATTTATAATTTCTTTTACTTATTTTTTAGACGTTGACGTCAAAATGCAAATATTGTTGTGATATAATGTACTTACATTTGTATAGTTTTTACATTTACATAGTATTTTTCTAATTTAAACCCGCGACTCAATTTTAAAATTAAATTGACGCAAATTCGTTTTAACGTGGGAAATTTTTTTTTACTCTTTATTACTTTTTTATTTTTGACTTAAATTTCTGTTCAACTCTTCTTCTGATTGATTTAAAAAATAGATCTTTGCACTTCATTTTCTTTTTTTCTTAAATTAAAAACTGAACAAACTCAAATAATAAATCAACAGATTTTTTTCTGCATACAAGAAACAAATCAACGACATTTGGATTCTTTGAAGTAAATAAGGTATTAGGATTTTGAACAGTTGTTTTTTGTTGCCAAGGTAACAAATATCAGTGCCCACTGTTTGACAGCAGTCTGAGAAAAATGAATTTTGTTAATTTTAATAGAATCTTTTTAATTTCTTCGTAAAAGAATTTATAGTTTTTTTCCTATTAGTATTCCGTTAATTTTTTTGCTATTAGTATTCCGCTTTGCTTTAAATATTTACTTTTAATACACCACTCTTTTCAGAAAATATTAATTTGTAGTACACTGCACTATAACACAAGTATTTACTTTTAGTTCACTGATACAACGAAGAACACAATAGCAATTTTTATCTTTTTGATTCATTCTTCTCAACTTTTTAACTTAATGACGATTATTTAACCAGGTAGCCTTTACAGCTCTAATGAAATCTCTCTGTTTAAAAAATGGGTTTTTCTTGCAACTTCCAAAAATTTAATTTAGATGAGTGGAGATGAATAATTTTAAATATAAGAACTAATACTCTCTAAAAATATTTTTTGCCTTTAGTGACGCAACATTATAATAGATAATAGAATATAGATCTGTTTCATTATTGTAATATATTTAAATATCCTATTATCTATTATTATCTCCTATATCTATTATTTTCTCCTAACATCAATTATTATCTCCTATTATCCTATTATTATCTCCTATTATCCTATTATTAGACCATTGATGTAGTACATTTAACTACTCTGAATCTTGAAGTATTTTGCCAATTTTTTAATAATTTTTTTATATTCATTTTTTTTTTTTTATTGTATTTGAATTTCATGCTATATTTTTCTATACTATACTTTTATATCCAAAGATATTGTTGGTTTAGTATAGAAACAGCCACAAATACTCATTAAGACTATTTCAAAGTAGCTTCCGTTATTGAGCAACATTTTTGCGTATTACTCAAGTGATGAGTTGGTGGTGTCCAAATTTCATTGTACAACAGTCCTAATTTTAACATTTTAACGCTCTAACCAACTAAGATATCCAGCCACTATTAACTAGCTTCTAAATTTTAAAAAATTTAGTTTGAGGCAGACACAACGTGATTTTACAAATTGGAGTAAAAATACGTTCAAAAAACGTCCCCAATATGCCTCTGCTTTAAGGAAAATAAATACTCTAGATACAAAAAACATCAGTGCCAATTTATAAAAAGAAATTAAAGCAAACGTTCGTACAACTTTTGTTTACAAAAGTTGTACGAACCATAAGATATTTTGTTTGTTTACGAAGGTTGTAAGAACAATAATATATTTTATTTGTTTACGATATTTGTAAGAACGATAAGATATTTATTTGTCTGCGAAAGTTGTAAGAACTATAAGGTATTTTATTTTTGAGTAGTGATCAATAGCTTGTCTTAGAAATGCATTGTCACTGCAAAGCAGTTATTTACAAAACCAAAATTTTTTTCAACTAGTAAAACTTTAAGAGATTAACAACCCTAACTTTAAGAGACAACCCAAACATTTCATTAAACCCAAATTTAAAATTTCTTTTTTTAGAATTAACTATTTGGAGGAAATGGAAACATGGTTCAATGAGACAAAACTCAATTTATCAAAACCAAATGCAAAAGATGAATGCACTTGTCGTGGTTTCACTGGTATGCCAGGAAAACCAGGAGCGGTAGGCCTTCCAGGCCCACCTGGCCCACCAGGTAATACATTTTCACTGTGCATCTAAATGCATAACTTAATAAGCTTGTATTATTTTATGTTTTCATTTTAGTGTTTCATGATATGTGCAATGAGTTTTAGTGTCTGTAATTTTTACTCAACGATTTTCAGTATTTTGCAATGTGTGCGGTGTTTTTCTGTGTTTCAGTATTTCGCAGTGTGTGCGGTGTTTTTCTGTGTTTTACAGTGCGGTAAAATTTCAAATATTTTTTATCAAAATAAATTGAAAAACTTTAATAATTATTTGTTTACTTATATAAAGTAACTAAATATATAATATATAAGTTCTTTAAAAACACAATTGATTAGCATTAACCCGGTAGAAATTAAAGTATCATCTTTAATGTGTTAGTACCGCCACTAAAAATTAATTTTTTACAAAATAAAATACAAAACTAATCAATAATATAACAGAACTGTTTAAAAATTGCTCATTTTTCACTGGAAACATATCTTATCTAAAGCAAACAAAATAAACATTTATTTTTTTTCACTTCAATTTCTTTTATTTATCAATTTTTAATTTATTTATCAAGTTTTGTTTGTTAAATTTTTGTTCACATTAGGTATGGATGGTCAGCTTGGTGAACGAGGATTTTCAGGTCCAAGAGGACCTCCTGGTAGAAATGGCGAAAAAGGAGATACTGGAGACCCTGGTATATTTATGCTCCAATATATCCTGATTAATATATACTGATATTTAAATATTACTATGAAATTGATTTAATATAATATAAATGTAATATTTAAATATAAATATGATATTTAAAGTATCATATATATGACAAATATGATATTTATTATGATATTTATGGTAAGTATGATATTTAAAATATGATATATAAATTATAAATATGGTATTTAAATATTAATTAAGTTAATTAAAAAAATATTTTAAAATTAGAAGTAACATTTACTTTACATGAACCTGATAACATAACAGTCAACAATCTTACTAAATATCTTTGTTACTTGTTATTCCAAATAATAAATGTAAATACAATTTTTTTTTCCGGAACAGGTGAATGTGACTGTCAATTTGTTTATAAAGGAAATCCTGGTAAGCAAGGTCCGCCAGGACCAATAGGACCTCCTGGTTTACCAGGAACTCGCGAGTCTCAGGTATTTCGTTAAATATAAATAAATTGATTATAACAAAAAATAATTTTTTGCTTAAAAAAAAGTTTTACATACAAAATAAGATTTGAAAAAATATTTACCTAAAGGTTGCAGAACGTGGAGAAAGAGGTGAACAAGGAGTTAAAGGAGACACTGGACCTCCAGGAGTCACTGGACCCCCAGGTAAACCAGGTAATAAACTTGTACAACATTAACTATCTACAAGCAATGGTTTTTAAAACTATTAAAAGTATTAAACAATATTATTATATATTAATAAATGCTTTCACCCATAACCACATACGCGCGTACATATATATATTTCCAAAACTTCTTTTCAGCACGAAATGTGATATTACTTTTAAAAAGAAGACAAATTTTTTAATTTTATTTAAAATCATTTTATTTATCAAGACATGTTTCAACTATATATAGTCATCATCAGTTAAAATATATTTGTTAAAAACGGTATAAAGTATAGTATATAATTATAAAAATAAACATAATAAAAGCCATAAAATTGTAAACAAACTTTCTATATATTTAAAAAGATTTATTAAAAATTATTTTAACAAATTTCAAATATAACAAAAGAAACTGGTAAATCATATTAAATTATAAGAGTCATTTTAACATGGTTTACTTGTTTATTCATATCGGGTTTTTCCCATCCTATATGAATACTTTCTTTTAATTCAATTTTGTTTTTAGCACGATCCAAAATCGAAAAGCATTCATCATTATAATTTTGAAAAAATTTTTCTTTTGAGTGAAGATGCTTATAAATAAGAGAGTTTTTATCTGTTCTGTAGTGTTTAATCACTCGCGTCTTTAGGTGGCGAGTGGTTTCGCCAATATAACAGAATTTACATCCTGCACAAACAAATTTGTAGACGACGAATGATTTAAAATCTATAAGAAGGTGATCTTTAGATGAAAAAAAAATTAGACACTATTAACGAAGTAAATACTACTTTTACAGTAACCGACTTACAATGTCTCTTTATAATTGCGTGTAATCTTTGTTTCGTTAGCTCAGATATTTGACCGATATAAAGGAGTTTCAAATAGCGAGAGTTTGTAAGGTCTTCAGATCTTACAAACTCTCTTCATAATTATCTTTATTTAAGTAAGAGTTGTGGATTTTTTCTGTTAGCCAAGATGAGTACATAATACGTTTGAGAATTTTGAAAATATTTTTAATATCATAGCGGAGACCAAGGGTAGCGTTGTTATTTTTCTATCAATTAAACATTTTATAAGATTTATTTTATACGAAAATGTAATAAAGCTGTAAAAGTTGGAGTATAATCCAGTAAAGGTTTTTTTATGAAAAACTGTTGTAATTGTTGAGCTGCTCGACTTACATAGAGTTATGTCCAAAAAAGATATTTTTGAGTATTCTTCCTTTTCCATGGTAAAAGATATTGAAGAATGTTTTTTGTTTATGTAATCCAAGAATAAAATTGCGTGGTTTTCTGAAGGGAAAGCAGCAAAAATATCATCTACATAATGTTTGTAAAACAACGTTTTTTCTCCATTATAAGATTTGACCCATTTTTCTTCAAAATTACCCATAAACAGATTAGCAAGTACAGGTGCTAGTAAATGCACCAGTAAGTACAAGTAATGGAGAACCCATAGCAACTCCGTCAATTTGGTCATGAACCTGTCCTTTAAAGTGAAAATGCGTTTGTACTGTAGCAAAAAGAAAGAGTTTTTTTTAATTACTTTTGTTGATTTTAAGATTTGTATTCTTTTTTATGACAGCAATTTCTATCGTTTCTATCGACATCGACAGCAATTTCTATCGTTTCTATCGACATCGACAGCAATTTCTATTGTTTCTATCGACATCGACAGCAATTTCTATCGTTTCTATCGACATCGACAGCAATTTCTATTGTTTCTATCGACATCGACAGCAATTTCTATCGTTTCTATCGACATCGACAGCAATTTCTATCGTTTCTATTGACATCGACAGCAATTTCTATCGTTTCTATCGACATCGACAGCAATTTCTATCGTTTCTATCGACATCGACAGCAATTTCTATCGTTTCTATCGACATCGACAGCAATTTCTATTGTTTCTTATAATGGAATGTTTGTGAATAAACTTGTGATATCAAAAGATACAAGAAAGCTGTTAAATAGGTACGCTTCGTTTACTTCTTTAACAAAGGTAAAAGAATCTTTAGTACAAAACTCAGACGGTATTAATGGAGATAATAAATCTTGAAGAAATCTAGCCAAATGATAGTTATAAGTACCAATAAACAATACAGTAGGTCGAAAACATATATCATGATCAGAAGACCTTAATTTGTGCATTTTCGGAAGACCGTATATGCGATCAGGACAAGAGCCTGTAGGATAAATTTTATTATAACTTGAATCATCAAAGAAACCTTAACTTTTTAGTTTCCTTAAGAAGTTTTGAAGTTGCGTTTCCTTATTAATTGTGTCGTCTTTTTTTAAGTGTTTAAATTTAGTTGGATTATTATTAATATTGTAAATCTCGTGACATAAACTTGTTATATAGGAAGGTTTATGACAACGGGATTTACGCGCGTAAATATATATATATATATATATATATATATATATATATATATATATATATATATATATATATATATATATATATATATATATATATATATACATATATATATATATATATATATATATATATATATATATATATATATATATATATATATATATATATATATATATATATATATATATATATATATATATATATATATATATAAGGCTTAACTTAAGGTATACTTCTGCATATAGCATTACAAGTTTTAAGAAAAAAGTTTGTGATATTGTTTAAAATTTGTTAACAAAATATTTAAAAAATCTAATTTGAATAGCAGTTTTGGTATCTTATTTTTTTTAGAAATTCATATTATTTAGGCTTTAACGGAACTTGTTCAAGCTGCACGATAGCTAAACACCATACAACGTACACTCATTGGGGAAAATCATCGTGCCGTAATGACAGATCAACGATTTATAGTGGTATTTATACGTTTTGATTATGAACCTTATTTTACTTCAATAAACAATATTTAAATCAGATTATATTGTGTTTTTCTCTAAGTCTTTAAATCTATATTTTTAGGTTATGTGGGAAGCTCATACCATAATTCAGACGGAGGAGGGTCAAACTACTTATGCTTGCCGGTGTTACCCAAATACGATAAGCACGATAATGAATCTAATTCGAAGTCACGTGCTTTTATTTATGGAGTGGAGTTCGAACTTGGAGACTCAGACATATTTGATTCAAAATATACAGGACAATATTTTAACGCGCTGTGTTCAATGTGTGATGTAAAAGAACGTACGAATACTTTAATGATACCAGCCGTAACTGAATGTCCGGTTGGATGGCATAAAGAATATCAAGGTTTCCTTATGACTCAAAAAAAATATTTGCAACGTACAGAATATATATGTGTAGATAAAAAACCAGACTTTATTGAAGACACAAAAGATTGGGGAAAAGGTGGGTTTCTGCATTTCGTCGAGAGTAAATGTGGAGTTTTGCCATGCATAAATTCTTATAAAGATTCTTGGGAGCTAAGTTGTGTGGTGTGTACTAACTGATCAAGTATACATATTATTTACTTAATAAATAAACGACAGATATTTCCACATGCGTAACATAAATAAGTTTGACTGCCATTGACTTTTAAAGACATCAAGTTTATAATAAGACCGGATTGAAAATATCGTTGTGTTACCAAGGGTTTCACTTTTTCACTCAACAGATTACGTAATTTACAGATTACGGAAATTTTATTGCGACTTCTTTGCCGTGTCAAAAAAGAATTATCGTCAAATACCTCAGTACATTTGATAATTTATGGTTATGAGTGATCAAGTGGTCACTTTTTAGTAGCGATACACAAAAACGCTTACGTTTTAGTTGTGACAAAATATTTTAAAATAAATTTTTTTATCTGGAATGCTTCTCGCATAAAATAAAGAAAATTTGTTACCTAATATTATATTTCAAACAATGATTTAAATTATGTTATAATTATTTAATTTTTATTTGATTTAAAAAGCAAACTTTTATTTTTCTACTTGAATATGTAAAGTTCTTTTCATCGCTTTTTTTCACGTTCTGTTAATCTTTACTAAGCAGAAATTTTTTTCCTTATTCTTATATTAAGTAAAATAATGGAGATGATGACGGATGCTTAACAAAAATTATTTCACGTGCGTGTCGAATAATTTAATTTTTAAGTCAAGTCTTCATTTTTTTAAATAAAATTAGTTACGCAGGCATTATTTAAAAAAAAAAAAAACGTTTGAATTAAATTTCAAACGACCTTGACGATGTCTTTTAATGACTAAAAACTATTTGGTAACAATATTAATAAAAAATGTAATACAACGAGCCAACTTTTTGGAGAAATTCTCAGTAGTGAAGCAAATTAGAATATTTTTTGCTTATTTCAAATTAGAATGCTCTGTTGCGCCAAAAAGTATTTCAGTGAACTAATTTAAAAGTTAAAACTATATCCGATAAATAAAATCTTTCATACCTATCCTTTACCCTCGAAACATCGATGCCGCAGATTAAAAAAAAATATTTCAAGTCTATGCAAACTTGCAAGCATTCAAATTACTTTGAAGAATGACCTATTTTAACAGTTTTTTAATGAAAATTTTGATATTTAAAGGATTTCTCAGCAGACGCCATCATTATTTTACAATTTTTTTTTATGAGAGTCTTGATACTTTAATGATTTCTCTGCAGACACCATCATTATTTGTGGTAATCGTAGTTGCAAAAAACTTAGAATTGTTTCTTATAAACTGAATAAAGTTGAGGGTTCCTCCACCAACGCCAAAATAATGGGTTTTAGCAGCAAAATATGCAACACCATTGGGCGTTAGTTGTTCTTCCAAAACACGCAAAAGCTTCGGATAATACTCGACTGTATAAATAGTTTCCGAAGATAGAATTATATCAAACCTTTCTTTTTTTAGCTCTGAAAAATAAACACACATATTATCCCAATCTCCAGAATAAAATTCAAATTGTAAAAAAGCCTCATCGCCACATTTAGCTAAAGACTGCTGCACGGATGGAAATGTAAACTCTTCGATAACTTCACTATTGTAATCTTGTAAACAGATTTTTTTTGCCCCAGAAAAAAAAGCAAAAATTCCTAATAAACCAGAACCACAACCTAAATCTAGCACAGATTTATTAAGCATACACTTTTCATGTTCCTTTAGATATTCTATTAAATCAAAAGTGCATTCCCATATCTTGAAACCACCTTCGTATGTGCCTGCTTTTAAATCAGAAGATTCTAAAAGAGATTTCAGTTCTTTTTCTTCAACTCGATTTGATGCAATCAAAGGA